AAAAAATCTGTATTCAGGTAGTCCTTGACATACGGCCACAATTGAGACCAGAATTTCCACTGCTGGATGAAGCAGTTATTAAGTGAGTCACGCCTGATTTTAATGTCCTTTTTTGCCATGGCTGTTAAGTCAATCCCTGCACTTGTTAAGTAAATCATGTGGTTGTTAAGCAAATCTGACTTCTGCCCTGAAATTTGTCAGAAACCAGCTGGAAAGGTCGCAAATGGCGATCACGTGACCCCAGGATGCTGCAAACGTCCTAAATGCATGCCAGTTGCAAGTGTCAAAATATGGATCATGTGACCATGGCAATGCTGCAACAGTTATAAGTGCAAGGATCAGTTGCAAGTCATTTTTTTTCAGAGCCATTGTAACTTCAAACAATCAGAATAACAAGAGTTGGAAGGGACATTGGAGGCCATCCAGTCCAACCCCCTGGGAGACTTTTTATCATTTCTGACAAAAGGCTGTCCACTCTCTTCTTGAAAGCCTTCAGTGATGGCACTCACAACCTCTGAAGCTGTTCCAATGGTTGATTGTTCTCCCTGTCAGAAAATTTCTTCTTATTTCCAGGTTGAATCTCTCCTTGGTCAGTTTCCATCCATTCTTTCTTGTCTGGCTTTTGGGGGGCTTTAGAAAATATGTTGACCACCTCTTCTTTGTGACAGCCCCTCAAATATTGGAGCAGTGCTATCACGTCACCCCTGGTCCTTCTCTTCCAGCCATACCCAATTCCTGCAACCGTTCTTCATATGTTTTAGCCTCCAGACCCCTAGTAATTTTGTTGCTCTCCTCTGCACTCTTTCTAAAGATTGAATCTAAAGATTTAAAGATTTAGTCATTAAATGAATGGTTATAAGCCAAAGATGGCCTGCATTGTAGAACTCCTAATCTGATGAAAATCAGAAGGTGAGAGCTTTTCATTGTTCCAGATTTTCCTCCTGGTTATGTTCTGTCCAGAAGGAAATGCTAAGATCAGTTTAACAAAACTTTTACATCATTGCTCCCATTTTAGGTATAACTTCGTGTCCTTTTTTAGAGATGATTCATTGCTGCAAATAATTAAAGGGTAGCTTAGTGATAGACAGGAAACCAAATAGTTCTAATTTTATATTTCCTCCTCCCTCCCCCTAAAGTAAGACACTAACTCTAATTTTGCATTCATTAATACAATGGGGCAACCTGTAGATACTGAGATGTTTCTGGGCACAGGGCAGAAATGCTATATGGGATAAACCTTGTATAATCTGGTATCCTGCAGATGTATTATTCAATCATCATTATTCCTGTTACTTAAGTCCATGTATTCCATATCTGACACTTTGGTATGATAGAGAATACCTCTTGGGCTTTGTCTATGAGATATATTTTCAGGTACCTGACAAAAGCTATCATATCCCCTTCCTTCCTTCCTTCCTTCCTTCCTTCCTTCCTTCCTTCCTTCCT